TTAGGAGGGAAAAGGTGAGTCTTATAGAGCAAAAATATGGTACTTTGGGGCTTCAAAGCACATACATTTCAGTAATCCTTGAGTGTCAGCCAGGTGCAAAAAAATGGCACCCAGACTTATTTAGGTTCTCGCAAATGGAGAATCTTTAGGTGCAAAATGTGCCTGGTTCCCTGCTAATTTCGAACCCTGGTAGGAAGAGGCTAAAATAGATGTGGACTGTCCCTGGAGCAAGTGGCTTTTCTTCTATAAGTTCTTGAAGTTCTTAATCTAGCTCAAGGTTATCATCTGAACTAGCCAGATGTTTAACTAAGAATCCATCGCAGCCGGTCCATCGTTTGAAAAATAAAACTTTAGAGCAGTCTTGCTCAAAAATGGCACCTAGATATTCCATTTTGGCGACTGTTACCTTGGTTTGAGGAGTCATTCGGTGCCTGGCTAATTTCAAACACTTTTAAGTGGTGACTAAGGTAGCAGGGAAGGGACGCGGGTGGCGCTGTGGGTAAAACCTCAGTGCCTAGGGCTTGCTGATTGCATGGTCAGCGGTTCGAATCCCCGCAGCGGGGTGAGCTCCTGTCGTTCGGTCCCAGCTCCTGCCCACCTAGCAGTTCAAAAGCACCCTTAAGTGCAAGTAGATAAATAGGTACCGCTTTATAGTGGGAAGGTAAACGGCGTTTCCGTGTGCTGCGCTGGTGCTGGTTCACCAGCTGCAGCTTTGTCACGCTGGCCATGTGACCCGGAAGTGTCTTCAGATGGCGCCGGCTCACGGCCTCTTGAGCGAGATGAGCACGCAACCCTAGAGTTGGACACGACTGGCCCATATGGGCAGGGGTACCTTTACCTTTAAGGTAGCAGGGAGGGGCCCAGGTGGCACTGTGGGTTGAACCACAGAGCCTAGGACTTGCTGATCAGAAGGTTGGCGGTTTGAATCCCCACAACAGGGTGAGCTCCCGTTGCTCGGTCCCTGCTCCTGCCAACCTAGCAGTTTGAAAGCACGTCAAAGTGCAAGTAGATAAATAGGTACCACTCTGGCGGGAAGGTAAACGGCATTTCCGTGCGCTGCTCTGGTTCGCCAGAAGCGGCTTAGTCATGCTGGCCACATGACCCGGAAGCTGTATGCCGGCTCCCTTGTCCAATAAAGCGTGATGAGAGCCACAACCCCAGACTCGGCCACGACTGGACCTAATGGTCAGGGGTCCCTTTACCTTTAAGGTAGCAGGACCTGGCTCCTTTCTGGTTTAGACAGTACTACCTGTGTCAGCAGTAATGCCCCCGCCCTTGGCACTCAACTGAGCCTGAGCACCTCTGTTGGCAGGGGCAGACTTTGGTCTTTCAAATTTCAGCGGTGCCCTGTGCCAGCCCAAAATTCAGCGCCCCCACCTTCCATTCTGCTCAATTCGCTGCATCATACTTTCGGCGCCCAGTGTGGCGGAACTGGTCACGCTGCCCAAATCTGCCTCTGCTGTTGGTCCGTGCTGACTAAAGCCTGGCTGCTCCCTGGCCCTCAACTTAGCCGGCTTGGCAAAGGATGGAATTGCTTGCACCTTTCCCCACAAACACTATTCTGCTTTGAAAGGAGCTAGTCACTTCTCTTTTGCAAAAATGAGAACCCGTCTACTTTGGGAGACTTGGGCACTTTCAGAATTCCCCCTCTCGCCTTATATATGGCAACTTAAATTGGATTACGAGGGGATCAGCATGGAGTGAAACCTGAGATGAGGCAGATGGACTTGGGCAGACAAAGAGGCGGGTTTGGGTTACCGAGCTGCATGTCAGAGGTGAGGCTGCAGGAACTTTTCCAAATGGCGACTCCATTTGAGCAGTGGAGGCTGAGAATAAACATGGGCTTTGTCCGCCTCCTTTTATTAACCCATTAAGCATCTTAAAACATCAGGCTTCATCCTGTCGCGTAAAGACTCATCTAAGATTTCCCTCCCTCTGCTCTCCCTCTTTAAAGAGCTGCCTGTCTTGTAAACAGGAAGGTTAGTACTTCTAAACATCAAGGCAGATAGGTGCTGTGAATTGATCTAAGGGAACCGTATTTCTTGTTGGGCTGTGGGAATTAAGTTTGGATTCAATTTAAAGGGGAATCCATCTAATTTGCACTTTCTGAAACTTAATGCGAACCCCAACACAGCCATCCTTTCAAATTTGCCTTACTCAGCATCCTGCAACGCAGTTCTCTGTTTGTACAAAAATAGGTAAAGTTTGCACATATTGGTGAAACCGACAGTCAAAAATGCTTTACATCAGTCAGAGTTACATATGCAAATGGCCAAATTGTATGTTGTTGCTTAGTTGTTTAGTCGTGTCCGACTCTTCGTGACCCCATGGACCAGAGCAGGCCAGGCACTCCTGTCTTCCACTGCCTCCCGCAGTTTGGTCAGACTCATGTTTGTAGCTTCGAGAACACTATCCAACAATCTCGTCCTCTGTCGTCCCCTTCTCCTTGTGTCCTCCATCTTTCCCAACATCAGGGCCTTTTCCAGGGAGTCTTCTCTTCTCATGAGGTGGCCAAAGTATTGGAGCCTCAGCTTCAGGATCTGTCCTTCCAGTGAGCACTCAGGGCTGATTTCCTGAAGAATGGAGAGGTTTGATCTTCTTGCAGTCCATGGGACTCTCAAGAGTCTCCTCCAGCACCATAATTCAAAAGCATCAATTCTTCGGCGATCAGCCTTCTTTTTTGTCCAGCTCTCACTTCCATACATCACTACTGGGAAAACCATAGTTTTTACTATACGGACCTTTGTTGGTAAGGTGATGTCTCTACTTTTTAAGATGTTGTCTAGATTTGCCATCGCCCTTCTCCCAAGGAGCAGGCGTCTTTTAATTTCGTGACTGCTGTCACCATCTGCAGTGATCATGGAGCCCAACAAAGTAAAATCTCTCACTGCCTCCATTTCTTCCCCTTCTATTTGCCAGGAGGTGATGGGACCAGTGGCCATGATCTTTGTTTTTTTGATGTTGAGCTTCAGACCATATTTTGCGCTCTCCCTCATTAAAAGGTTCTTTAATTCCTCCTCACTTTCTGCTATCAAGGTTGTGTCATCTGCATATCTGAGGTTGTTGATATTTCTTCCGGCGATCTTAATTCCGGCTTGGGATTCATCCAGCCCAGCCTTTTGCATGATGAATTCTGCATATAAGTTAAATAAGCAGGGGGACAATATACAGCCTTGCCGTACTCCTTTCCCAATTTTGAACCAATCAGTTGTTCCATATCCAGTTCTAACTGTAGCTTCTTGTCCCACATAGAGATTTCTCAGGAGACAGATGAGGTGATCAGGCACTCCCATTTCTTTAAGAACTTGCCATAGTTTGCTGTGGTCGACACAGTCAAAGGCTTTTGCATAGTCAATGAAGCAGAAGTAGATGTCAAATTGTGTACTCGAATGAATTTGCACTGAATTCATGCGGCTAGGTTTTAACGAGGACTCTTGGAAACAAAAATTGATATGGAAATGTGGAAAACTGAATTTAAAGATGGGGAAAATGTGGGAAATGGAAACTGACCCATCTCTAACCTAGAGGAGGGAAGCCTGGGGGTGGCTGCAATAGCACTTTTTCCAAACTTGAGGGGTTCCCCACAGGAGAGCATAAAAACGTGTTCTCTGCTCTTGTGAAGGACTGGGCTAGACCGACTGGATTTAAGCTACTAGAGGGCAGGTTTCAATTGAACATTAGGTGGAAATCTCTAACTCTGGATTTCCTGCCTCAAACAGGCGATTGCACTAGATGAAACCCTCCCCGCCCACACCTCCCAACTGCAGGATTCTGTGTCCTGTGCTCTGCAGGTCACATACACATTTTTAGCATTCCCAGGTGCAAACCTTGAAACTTGGCTTTCCGGCATCCTTGAAGTTAGTCCCACGACAGACCTGAGTTACCTGTGCATCCTATTCCATTTATAGACAGCACTGAGCTAGGTGGACCAATGGGTGACTCAATGATCAGGTAGCTTCCTGTATTTGAAATTAGCCAGGAGCCAGGCACATTTTGTGATGAACATGGGTCCAGTTGTGACCATGTGGAGATCTTTGGATGCTAGGTTGGCGACTGATATCTCCATCTGGCTGGCTCCTCCAGATTTCTTAAGCAGGTAAACAGAACAGCTTACTTATTGCATTTATATCCCACCTTTTCCTCCAAGGAGTACATGGCTCACCCCCTTCCTCAGTTAATCCTTACAATGACCCTGTGAGGTAGGTTAAGAGGCTGTGACTGGCCCAGTGAGCTTCCTGACTGAGGTCCTAGCCCAACACTCCCAGGTCCTAGCCCAACACTCTCACCACTACACCACACTGACTTCCTAGAGTACTTCTGCTGTGGGGCAGCTATATATATTAAGTAGGTAACAAAATATGGGGAAAGCAAAATGTCACTTAGAGAAGAATGTGAAACATTGTCCTTGAAGCTTGAATTTGTATTATTCTGGATTGTTCTATTTGATTTTTTAATGTGTTGCAAACCACTTTGAGATATTTTCTTTAAAATAGAAAGGAGTATAGAAATGAAATGAAATAAATAAATAAATAAATAAACAAACAAACAAACAAACAAACAATAAATAAATAAAATCTCCTTGGAAAAAAGGCACCTAGAGACTCCATTGCTGTACTGTAACCAAGGCTTAAGGTGCCATTTGGTGATTAGCTTATATATCTGAGTTGCTAACACTGGACTAGCTTCCTATGTTGACATTTAAATTAGCTCTCCATTATCAACCATGAGGAATCTTTATCACTAAGAGAAGGACCACAGCTTGATGGCTTCATCTTCAATCCTTTGGCGTTTCCAACTAGGTTTGGGGAAGAGCCTGCCTGAGATCTTTGGAGTACCACACGGCCAATCACTGTAGTCCATGATAAGCAAGACGGACCAGTGGTCTGAGCCACTTGACAAGGCAGCTTCCTGGTTGGTGATCCCTGCCATGGCGGGAAGACTGTGTCTCTGTGGCCCTGGAGATGACCTCTCCTTCCCCTTCCCTCCTCTCTGTGTTTCAGACTTGAGCCGCTCCACGGAACTCTCCTTTGCCATTGAGCCCGGTGACCACATAGCTGTGCAGGAGCAGCCGCTGGTGCTGTACTGCCAGGTGGAAGGGATCCAGCCCATCAGCATCACGTGGCGCAAGAATGGGGTGCTGGTGGTGGACAAAGAGGACTCCTTCACACTCGCCAACGGCTCGCTGTACTTCTCCCACTTCCAGAAACTGAAGGGCGATGGGTCCTCGGACGAAGGCGAGTACGACTGCATGGCTCGGAATCGCTTTGGGATGGTGGTGAGCCGCAAAGCCAGGATTCAAGCAGCAAGTAAGTTGAGGAGGTTCCTCCATCTTGCAAATCCTTTACTTTGCCTTTGTTGACTGTTTGACATTAATGGATGTGCAATAGCTGTGTTGGCTGGAAGGTGTTGATGGAGCACAGGTTATAATTGCTAGAATGGGCAGGTTTTTAAATGGTGATCAGAATATTTCTAAGTATTTGGGTGACAAAGGATGATGAAGGCCTCTACACCTGAAGCTCCTTTTTCTTTCTCAAATATTGGGGGGGGGATCCCATAGTTTGCAGTTAGGGCAGCAGTGCAGAAGGAAAGTTGCTTTTTCTTCTTCTTTTTAGTTTGCAGGATAATTTTTTTTTAAATGGAAGAAAATTAAATTTAAATGTGTGTTTTTAAAGAAAGTATTTTATGTCAATACAGTGGTACCTCGGTCTAAGAACAGTCCTGTTTAAGAACGATTCGGTTTACAAACTCCACAAAACCGGAAGTAGTGTCCTGGTTTGAGAACTTTACCTCGGACTAAGAATGGAATCCGAACAGTGGAAGGGCACCGGCGGTGGGAGGGCTCATTAGGGAAAGCGCACCTTGGTTTAAGAACAGTTTTGATTTAAGAACTGACTTCTGGAATGGATTAAGTTTGTAAACCGAGGTACCACTGTACACATTTTTAGATAATGTTTTTATTGGTGAGAACTGTGTTGGAACATTGGGGAAGTCTGAAGGTCCGCAGATGCCACATTCACAGATACATTTAAATCCCTTTGAGAATTGTAGCTCTGTGCAGGGGGTATGGGGAGATATCTCCTAGAGCTCTCAGCATCCTTGACAAACTACAGCTCCCAGAATTCTTTGGAGTAAGCAATGACTTTTTAAAGTGATGGATACTGTTTTGTCTGTGTGGTATGAATATGGCCTTAAATATGTCCCGCTGTGCTCAGATTTGCACACTAAACGCAGGAGGCATGGATCCGGTCAGTTTTCTATTGCATTTCTCAATGATTGGATCCCTTGATTCCTTAAATGAAGGGATTCCCTCTCTCTCTTTCCCCTCCCACCCCCTTTAATATGTGTTGTATCTCTGGACTGAATGGGGTGGTAGTGGTGGTGACAGAAACAGATCACAGTGGATTTCAGGAAAGCCACATGCTGTAATAAACATTGTCCAGCCACACAGTGATTTTTTATCTTCATGGTAAAAGAGGGAAGGAGGGAAGTGTGAGAAGCCAGGACTCTTACTAGGCTGGAATTTTGCCCCAGAAAAAGACTCTGGAGAAGTATGCCATTGGGTGAGATCAGTGTGAATGACCTGATCTTGATCTTAATTCGAATCAGGCTGCTTGGAAAAGGCCAGGTTGGGTCAGGATCAAAGGGGTACTGGTCCAGGGTTGCAGGGGGCAGAAGACCCATTACTGTTTCTACAGCTGGGTCCATGCAAGGTCCTTGTCCCCAGTGTCCTAGAGCCACCGCATCAGACTGAAAGGGGAGGGTTTTTTTAGTCACTGCGCTCCAAAGTATTTAGGAACACCAAAAACAAGAGATGCTTCAATTTCAAGAGAATGGGGTGCACATTCTGTTATGTGCAGTGGAACTACAACTAATCCAGAATGCGGCAGCTAGACTGATGACTGGGAGCGGCCGCCAAGACCACATAACACCATCCTGAAAGACCTACATTGGCTCCCGGTACGTTTCTAGCACAATTCAAAGTGTTGGTGCTGACCTTTAAAGCCCTAAACGGCCTCGGTCTAGTATACTTGAAGGAGTGTCTCCACCCCTATAGTTCAGCCCGGACACTGAGGTCCAGCTCCGAGGGCCTTCTGGCGGCTCCCTCACTGCGAGAAGCGGGGCTCCAGGGAACCAGGCAGAGGGCCTTCTCGGTAGTGGCACCTGCCCTGTGGAACGCCTCCCACCCAATGTCAAGGAAATAAACAACTATCTGACTTTTAGAAGACATCTGAAGGCAACCCTGTTTAGAGAAGTTTTCATTTCTGATGTTTTATTCTGTTTTTAGTGTTTTGTTGGGAGCTGCCCAGAATGGCTGGGGAAACCCAGCCAGATGGGTGCGGTATAAATAGTAATAAAATTATTACTCCTACTACTTCATGGAAAACACACCACTGGTCATTCCAAAAGAAGATACATACTAGAGAGCACTCCAAATGATTTCTCATGTACGTGGACAGAAAATAGTAGATCTCGCTGAAAGGCAAGACATGGAAATCTGCACTGATCATTGCAATGCATCCCTGATTGTTATTGCATAATTATAAGATTACTCTTGGAAGGTTGTATTATCTTAGAGGGATTCCATACTCAAACACAGCCAGCTGCACTGCATGGGCTCTGGGACTGTAATCATGCAAGGTATGTTAAAAATTGACCTCCCTCTCTTACGCGATGGGGATAAGTTGCTTGCTGGCTTTTCCTATCCGCCTGCTGCAGGTAGGAGCCTCACCCAGTGGTTTGCAGGAGGCTCAGGGGAAATTTATCCAAGGCGTTGCGCTAATGGCGAATCCTGTTGAGCAATTTATCATCTTTAACTTGTCTTGCAAAACCGAGAAGGCTTTGGCATTGTTACAGCCATCAAATCTCAGCACATAGAAATCGTAAGGGGGTGCCTAGCAATTGCCCAAGGACATCTTCGGAATAATTGTATGTTTGCATTGTAAGGATGCAGGAAGAGCCAGTGGCCCAGAGAGCCCAGTGGCCAACCAAATGCCCGTGGGAAACCCACAAGCAGGACCTGAATGCAATAACACTCCCCCCCTCCAGAGGTTTTCAGCAACTGATCTTCAGCAGCATTGCTTGTTTAGTCGTTTAGTTGTGTCCGACTCTTCGTGACCCCATGGACCAGAGCACACGAGGCACTTCTGTCTTCTACTGCCCCCCACAGTTTAGTCAAACTCATGCTGGTAGCTTCGAGAACACTGTCCAACCATCTCGTCCTCTGTCGTCAACTTCTCCTTGTGCCCTCCATCTTTCCCAAAATCAGGGTCTTTTCCAGGGAGTCTTCTCTTCTCATGAGGTGGCCAAAGTATTGGAGTCTCAGCTTCACGATCTGTCCTTCCAGTGAGCACTCAGGGCTGATTTCCTTCAGAATGGAGAGGTTTGATCTTCTTGCAGTCCATGGGACTCTCAAGAGTCTCCTCCAGCACCATAATTCAAAAGCATCAAAACTTGTGGCTAGTAGCCATTCATTTATGTGTCCCGAATCTCCATCATTCAGCTTCCTTGGATGGTCTATGAGTTTTAGCATTGTAAGAGATGGAGAAAAACTTTTCTCTATGCACTTCCTCTGTGCCATGTGTAATTTTATAAATTTCTTTCATGTCACCTTCTATCATCTTGCATGGTTCTCTGGACTAGACGTGCTCCATGTATAGTTTATCTCTCTGGGTGTTTTTCAGGGTTTCAGGTTGTTGGCCAATCCTTTGCCGTCCCCAGGGTCAGGGTGGCTGAACCTGCCAATTCCAGTTTCTCAATCTTCCATTCTTAAAGCTCAGCTTGCCACATTTCTGCACCAGTTTGCGATTTTCAAGAAGCCCTCGTGACATTCGCCAGCAGGTTAATGCAATTTTTGCTGAATGGACACGTTTTCCCAAGCCACTTTTGCATAGCAGTAAAGTAGCAGCAACAGCAACAGCAGCAGCAGCAAACAACATTATGGGGAAACCTGACGCATTAAACAAGTTTTAGCCAGAAACTAAAACTCAGCAAGGTGGATGCCAGATAGGCAGAGGATGCTTCAAACCCAGAGAGTTATCAAGGAAAAAGGCCCTCTCTCCTAATTTGGAGAAGAGCTTCTGTATATTATTTAGCCACCAGGCAGGGTAACCCAGAAGGTGGGGAACCAAACTGGCCCTTTGAATTCTCCCCAAGCCTTCCCACTGGCCCTGCATAATACCGGGAGTGTTTTTGCCTTGCTGGGACGTGTCCTCTTGCTTGCCTGCATGCAGGTTAGAGAAGGGGGTGTGACTGTGTGCAGAAACTAGCCAGCTGAAATTGACAGCTGTTGCTCCGCCCGCTTTCACCTCTGGCTCCACCTACCAGTGACATGCGGCCCTCGGAAGGTTGCCCAGAGCGGCATGTGGCCCTTGGGTTGTAAAGGGTAACCCTGCCACAGCAGTCGGCATTTCTGCCTTCCCGGCCGCTCATCCCCAGATGTAGCATCTTGGCTTTTTTAAAGGGAGGCTCCTTCTTTAAACTTGATTTTCAGCAGCTGGCTCGGCGGCGGCAAAGGCGGGGTCAGCCGGCTTTGCCTAAGGACCGCTTGCGAAGTGGCTGGGATGAAGGCCGAACCTGGGAGCTTCCCTGGTTCCCAGCCTTGGCCGTGACGTCTGGAGCAGATGGCCTCTTGAATGCAGCTCAAAGACGGCCACCCTTTCCCCTCCGCCTATTGTCCCTCATTGTTCGGAGCTGAATGGGGCGCTGCTGAAAGCGAAAGTCTGCTTGCTTTGCGGAGCCTGGGAGATGCGGCCCAAGCGATGTGGATTCTCAGAGGGATTGAAAAAGAGGCCTCCTTCCTCGCTGGGCTTGCATCCTTAAGAGGACTGGGAACTGTTCTCAGAGCACACACAACTGCCACCTTCTTTCACATCTACCTCTCAGATTTTTTGGGGAGGGGGTGTGAGTGGGAGAGGACTCTTCCCCCCCTCCTCTCTTTTCTTCTGCCACCTCCTTGCAATTTTCCTGCTTGGAGAGGGTGCTCAACCACAGACAATTGGCCATTTTCATTCTTTGCTCTTTCCCAGGGCGTTGAATACTTGCACACTGCTAGATGTAGGCAGGAGGAGGGCCTTGTGTGAGCTCAAGTGCAGGCAGCTCCTTCCCCTCCTGCCTTGGGAGAAGGCGGCAGAACGGACAAAGCCCCGTCCCTGGTAAACAGCTCCAGAGACAGGAATGGTCCCTTCAAGAAAGATGAACAGGTGTAGCCCAAAAGGCTAGCGGCCTTTTATCTGCATAATGCATTCTTAGCTAAGTTGCGGTGGGAAAGCGGCTGAGCTCTGCACTTGAGTTCCTTGCAGAGCGGACT